GAAATCCAGTTTTTGAGAGAACGGAGCATCCGACTTGAATGATCTAAAAAACATTCAATTAGTAATGATTGGGAGAAGTGTTTATTAGTTTTTGGCAAAGGCAGGCCCAGCCATTTCGAAGATACGGAGCTAAATGTGTAAAAAATGGCAGGTTTTGAGAGAACTAAGCGTCCGATTTAAATGATTTAAAGAACTTTCTACTTGTCTTGACAAAATAATTGATTTTGAAAAAAAAATTTGTTTCAACTTTTTTTTTTTCAAAAAAAATTTTTTTTGTATATCGAAAATAATTCAGATTTTATTTTTAATTCTGACTATAGTTCTAATATACTTTAAGCAAATAATTTCAGCTTTGCAATTCAGTTTTTATAATTCTTATAAATATTAGACAAACTTACAATATTAATAATAATCTATTTGAAAACATTCAGTATTCCTCGAACATTTCGTTACGATACGGGAAGTTCCAGCAATTTGCCTTAAGGAACGATGCCATACACCCCACTAGTTATCGTTGTATATGTGCACCACGTTATAAATAGTACAAATAATTAACTATATATTACAATTATTTGTTTATTTCTATTATTAGTACAAGTTTTACTATTATTTGTATTTTTGTTTATTGTTCATTCGTAACACAACAACTTATGTTCTTTTCTATCAGTACTTTTATAATTATATTTAATTTTTTAATTTGCCAATATTAGCTCTTTATTGAACTATAATATTATCAATATTGTTATTAAATATGCCTTAAAAGGACAAACATTTTTTGTATCTTTATTTGAAGGTTTTTTGATCATTTCGGCCTGACTTACTATTAGAGAAAATTTTTGTATGTGTATATTCAATTTTATAACACAATTATAGAAAACTAAATCGATATGTTGAATACGGATATGAATATTTCAAACTTTAATCATTTTAACATATATCCTATTTGAAACTGAGCCATAGAAAATATGAATGATTTTCCTCAGCTTTCAATTGTATTGTACAGTTTGTACAAACTAAATAATTCTTTATCGATTTATAAATTATATTTGAATTATAATACCAGAAGAGATTCAAAAAACAAACTTATTAAATAAATTTTTATGTTAAAATATACTGGAATTATATAGATCATCATATAAATCGTAATCATTTTTTGCGAGTTCTAGGTCTAGGTTCTAAATTTATTTTTGTATTTTTGCAAATAAACCTGTGATAAAACTTTGAGGCCTCTTATAAAACTGTGTGATATTTTAAGCAATTTTGCCAGTGAGAATAATGCTGCTCAAAGTCATATTTGACAAAAACTCTTCAAAAGTTAAGTGTTATTCACTTAAATCTCATTGTCAGAGCATGTGTTATAAAGGATCACATAAAATTATTGGAAATGATGAAGAGCTAGTGTAATAATAATAAACTGTATTTTTCGGAGAAAATTGCTTTTTGAAAAGTCCTACTCTCAATCCGAATCTCAAAAGACTGAAAATAACATGAACAACAAGTATTTAGAAAACCCTATTTATCAAAACAATACAATCTCAATACTATTTTTGTTGGCGATTCCATTATAAATAGAGTATAAATAAAATATTAAATTGATTAAATAAATTTTTAGTAGTTATTAAAAATTCATTGAAACAAAAATGGTAGATACTAATATAATTGGACCGCGTAACACATATATTTTATTCACAATGCTTGAAGTATATCAAACAACTTTTAATTTGATTTAATTTCAAATACAATTGATTTACACTAAAGTATCGATGCTCAAGTTACTGTATTTAACAAATATTGTTCTGCAATCAAGTGTTGTTTATTTGAATATCATTGTTAAAACCGATTCCATGTATTTGTAACAAATGATCATAAAAAACACAGTGATAACAAGTATGGGCCAATGGAATAAAGGTAATCCTGGGGGCGCCGCCGTCTTCTTATTTTTGAACGACTTTTTTAATTCATCTGGCTCTCTTATTCGGGCTAGTCCTTGTCCAAAAACCTCTCGGAAACGCTTTCTGATAGTGCAAGGGCTTTTTTGATTAATTGCGGTTTCGTCTGTCGTTGATGACACCTTTCTGTTAATTTTGTTAGTTAATTTTTGCTTTTAATGTTTTTAAATAATTTAATAAATTAATATTAATATCATATCTATTAACAAATTTCATTCAAATTTATTTCGAAAAGATGTTTCTCATTTGTTTAGACTCAAAGAAATAATAATAATAATTTTATAATTATTAATTATAAAATTAATAATTATTTTGATACCAATATTAGTGAAATAGTTGATTTTCGAATTAATTTTAACACGTGGATTTTCAAACATTGCCATTTATCTCCGGAGATTAATGTCGTAAGAATCAAAGTGTAATGACTATATACATCTTTTCCCGTCTACTTTAAAATACTGTTTTTAAAATTTTTTTAACTTATTCTTGACATACTGTACGATTAGTGAAAATTTTTGTATAGGCATTAGGTAAGTCTATAATTTGTATGTACTAAATTTGTAAAAATATCTTATTATGAAAAATTTTATTGCTTTTGACAATAAACCAGCCGAAGCTACTTGCTATATTAATGTCGCATATTGATCCCTGAAAACTATGCCCTTAAATATCTTTCAGTTAATTTTTCTATTAACAGCAATTAAACATAAATCGTGTATTACTTACGTGTATAAATAATCTTAAAATTTTTGACTCCCATATGCTTAGCTAATCGATTATCTTTAAAATTATTAGTGTTTTTAGAAAGTTTTTAGTACTTGAAGGTTTGTTTGAAAGTAGGCGCTCCCAACCATGCTTTCTTAAGAAATTTTCCAATGCCATTTGCAGCAATTTGAACATAAGCCTTAAGTTAGTTAGTTTTTTCCTGCAGATCTTTAAGCCCCGCTCTGCACTATTAGAATTTTATCTGTACTGCACGAAATTTTGCGAATAAACGCGAAGGCTTTGGAAATTTTGAATTTTTGAATTATATCAATAATGAATATGCATATGAATTTGAGTGTTTAGTATTAATAACAGTTGTCTTAATATTCCATTGAAATATATTAAATATTAAGAATTGTGTTATCTTATAAAACTACATAAAATATAGATTTTACATAAAATATTATGTTATGCTAATTCAACATAATATTATTGTGTCCATTATTTACTGATAATTAGCACAAGTTAGGTAAGAGTTACAGTATAAGCCCTGTATATATCTTTCTCAAACAATCGAGTTTTGTAAAACAGAATTCTTTCTTCCTCTCGAATATAATGTACAAATTCATTATAATTTAGTTATTTTTATTAGCACAAACTTGATATTTAGTCCTAACAATAATGTGTTTCCCTTTTTGTTAATGAAACAATTCATTAAACAGAACATTACCAACCACATTTTTTACAATTATACATTTATATTATTAATTATTCTTAGAAAAATTTTATTTAAATAGTTTCATATTATAAAAGTATTCAAAATCTACATCTTATTTACCGTGATGCAATTGGTTTAAATTTTCCTTTTTTCGCGCGATTCATTCTTCCTTTCTCCGTGATCAAGAAAATCAAGTTTACAATTGATAAAAAACTTTAGGTTTTCGAACCACTACATTTCAAATTCACTGGTAATATAATTTATAAATAAAATACTAAAATTTTGCATTTACAAAAATTTTTAATTATTGATAGAAACATTGTCATTTGTTTAACCGATGACATATGTGATATTAATTTTTAGATCGATATATCTTAAGATATAAGAGCCCTAGGGCTTGTTGTAACAGTTTTTTCAAAATTAATCATAAATATATCTTGAGATCTCCATATTTCTACAAAATACAGCTACTTAGGTGCTGTGACTATTCCTTTATCTAATCAAGTAAAACTAACTTCATAGCTATTGGGAATTATTAATTAATTAATTAATAATATTCTAGAAAAAGCGCGAGGTTACAAGTTACTCCGTGTTCCGGACTAGTTGTAAGATCTACCAAAAAAGGCAATAATGCCTCTGATAATTTTTAAGAAAATTGACTTGCTTTTAAGTAATTATCTTTATACATCAACGCAAACGCAAATTATTACTGATAAAATATATGTTTCTATGATATAAATTTTTATCATATATAGTAAGGTGAACTACAATTATTATCATAATACAATTCAAACTTATGGTATCTCCTATAACATGATTTACATGTGCTCGCATTTTACAAACTAAGTTCTACTCAATTTTTTTCACTTGAATAATCTGCACATAATTCTTCTGTTACAACTGGCCCCAAGGATTTGTTACAACTAACCTTAGATGCGATTGTTTTACTTTGTGTAAGATAACTATTTAAACAATTTAACAATCATAAAATTGTTACACATTATCGAAGATTCATGAATTTGAATCGATGATAACACAAATCGAAATTTTATGGTAGTACAAATTAATATTACATGTTGAAATTGATGTATTTTGCACATTTCTGTATATTGCGGGAGTAGCTATAACAATATTATGCAGGACGATTTATAAGTTTAATCGAGACAAATAAACATTTTGTATTTACACCTACCACTAATTGCCTCTATTTTGTAATTTAGAATAAAGTATTTTTAGAACATTTTATTTATTTTGAAATTTTTTTAAAGATTATAAAAACGTATCACTGTGCAAAAATTAGTACGAAACTAATGAAGTTTACTGTATTTACTAAAAAAAAATTATTTGCGCAATAATTTAGGTTGGTTTCCCATTTTCTTGTGTTAAGATCATTTTCATTGGACGTGTAGCATAAGGCATTTACAAAAACCCTTAGTGTCTTCGGTTGTAACCTCTGCATTATTTTTTTGCAGGGTACACTTGCATATTCTTAAGCTCTAAATTATAAGACCATACAGGAACTATTATAATCGCGTATGTATAACATTATTTTATCTCGATTACATTTTCTCTGAGCAACCAAAACAGTTTTCGATTTTTTTTTCTACTTTTTTAAGTATTTTTTTTACACTGTTGAACAGCAATCAGAACATCTTGTTTTTCAATAACTAGCAAAATATTTAAATTAGGTAATAAAGGGTGGTCTAGTGGTCCTAGTGATCTAGTGATCTTACGTTTAGGTATTTCTGTAAAGAAAATATATAAAGTATTATACATCGTTAGTAAGGTTTTTTCCCATATATCGCAACTTCGAATTCCGCACGGTGTGGCCTACAGGCAAGTTGCAATCGAAAAATTCCAATTTTTAAATGGGCCACCCTATATGCTACTTGAGTATATAAAAAAAGAGCATGTTAGATGACCCTATATTGAGGATCACTAGTATATTAAACAATATGTACTGGTGCTTCTTTTTCAGTCTCCTGCCTGATCAAGTAATTAAAAAAAAATTAAAACTTTACCGACTGTTTCGTTGCTGTAGTCCTCATCGTAATCCTCTGTATCGGGGTGCAATCTGGGCTCGGCCTGCGCTTGTTGGCCGCGCACCGCGCAACCTGCCACGATAAGCAGACAAGCGGCAGCGCACGAGAGCGCGCGACGCGGGTTCATCTCCTCTTAACAATCTGCAAAAAAAAACATATAGATTGGTAAAATGACAATAGATTAAAGATAACGACATGCACTCAGCTGTTTTGTTCGTTCGATAATTTGCAGTAATCAATAATCAGGGATTTTTTAGCTTACATTTGTACTAAAATCTTTGCGTCAAACTGATTTCATCATAAATTTCAAATAATTATTTATTGATAAAAAAATCTGTTATGTTTTATTTTGACAAATAACATAGAAAATACATTTGAACATTTTGGAATTTATATATGCCAGAAAATTTTGTTTAGATTAATTTATATTTATTTATATTAATGCCATGCTATCATTATCAAACATATAATGGCCAATTATATAAATATGTTTAGTTATATTATCTCTATTTTATTCTCTAAATTATTATGAAATTCACAATATCGCCTCATGACATATGCAATATGTTACACAGTTATACGTAAGCCTTAATTAGCTTTGCTGAACAATATTGAATGTTACCAGCTTATGCATATAATAACAAAGTTAAATTTGCAAAAAATGAATTATTATTTTAATTTTAATTATCTTAAACATACCATTAAAAAATATTTGTTTTAATTCTGCATTAAAAATACAACTTAGGAACCATGAAGCTGAATAAGGAATATTCTGTATGATCTGTATGATTATGATATATACCTAAATTATTAACTATAAATTTCGTAATGACAAGATTCATTTAAACCGTTTAAATTTGTTCTACATATAAAAAGCATGTACTTTCAAAACTAATACGTGATTTGCAAAACACGTAATGGCAAGTTAGTTCAAACATATTTATTTATGTTTAAATATGTTATCGTTCATCAAGTTCTCAAACAAACTAGTGGGGTGGGTGGCATCGTGCCTTAAGGCAAATTGCTAGAACTTCCCGTACCATAACGAAATGTTCGAGGAATACTGAATGTTTTTAAATAGATTATTATAAATCTTGTAACATTGTCTAATATTTATAAGAATTATATAAACTGAATTGCAGAGTTGAAATTATTTGTTTAAAGTATACTAGAACTATAGTCAAAATTAAAAATAAAATCTGAATTATTTTCAATATACAAAAAAATTAAAAAAAAAATTGATGCAAACAAATTTTTTTCAAAATCAATTATTTTGTTAGGACAAGCAGAAAGTTCTGCGAATCAATTGAATCGGACGCTTAGTTCTCTCAAAAACAGCCATTTTTTGTACATTTAGCTCCGTATCTTCGAAATGGCTGGGCCTGCCTTTGCGAAAAACTAATAACCACTTCTCCCAATCATTACTAATTGAATGTTTTTTAGATCATTCAAATCGGATGCTCCGTTCTCTCAAAAACTCGATTTCTATACTCTGCACTCTTTGCTCTTTATCTCCGTAACTGCTGGACTTGTCTTTGCCAAAAACTAATCAGCACATCTCCTTATCAATAGGAATCGAACGTTTTTTGAACCATTCAAATCGGTTGATCCGTACGCCCGAAAACGTGGGCGAAAAATTGTATCCATGCATACATACACACACACACACACATCCATTTTTTCTGAAGTATGCCAAAATGTTCAGAAACCTTCAAAACGTCGAGAAATGTAAAAAATTTCAATTTCGATTTTCGGCCCATTACAATAACTTACCCTGCGGGAAGTTAACAAGCAAAATAAGTGATATACTCAACATAAATGAGGAATATAGTTAATTAATCTTGTTAACTCATTCTAAAATATTTGAAGCTACTTAATAATATGTGTAAGGAAAAAACGGATAAAATCACCAAAATGACACATTGGCCTTGTATTTAAAAATTGGTTAGTTTTAGTATTGTTTCTGCAACTGTATAACGTGGCAAAAAGCTATAGTCACAATCCTGTCAGATGTTGAGCGTCATTGTCACAGTCTTCTCTGACAATGGTATGATAACAATATCTTCATATACAAAGCTGTGATAGTGGACATACGGTATCAAGCTGTGGGCATGTGCAAGCACGTCTATGCTATATAGAAACCTTCCAAAGAGCACAGTCAAAAATATTACGAGCCATCGTAAACGCGCCATAGTAAAAGCACAATTCACCGAAATCTAAGCATCAAATATGTACAGGAGATTATCAAAGAGAGAAGCACAAAAGAGAAGAGAAAAAAGAAAAGAGCAAACACACTAATAAAAGATCAGCAAAAACAAGTTCCCATAAGAAAACTGAAAAAAAGTGGTCGCAAGATCTAATAAATTGACAATATATAATTATAATAAAATTCCTCAAAAGGGGTATTTCTAAAACGTCATGCACCCAACAGCAAACGACTTCATTGAACCAAAGGTTCAGATTGGTTATGAGAAATAAATAGATATAAAAAATTGACAAAATTCTAGCAGTAATCAGTTCAAATGTGTACCACGCTTTGAAAAGTTAATTTTGATGGTGGTTTTGTCATGTTTTTTGGAGGCTTATTGTTAATTATTTTGTATTATTTCTATTGAAATCAATGAACTTATACCGGTTTTGATTTTTTTTAATTTTTGTTCACTTTCGGACAAAATAGTACTACCTATTTCGCAAGCACTCAAGGGTAATTAATTCGGGTTAATATAAAAGAAAATTGAAATGGTCTGTCAAAGACCATTGGCTTTGTGCTCCTACTTCAACTACTTACAATTAGAAAAACTAACCGAATGATCCACCAGAAGAGACTAACATTTGTTGCTAGTTCTGAGCTTGGCTAATGATGGTTACGAGGATTTGGTCTCATTGGGCTCATGCTTCATGTGCTGATGTTTCAAAGAGGACCAAACTATTTATTTGTGAACCATCTTCTTAAAAATTTAGCATTTCAGTATGTATTTAACCTATATGTCATTTTGCCTGTACTATATAGACAAAGTGGTTTTTGTAATTATTAGTAGTTGCATTTTTTCTCAATAAATATGTTACTATATACTACTATATGTTTCCAAGTGAAAATAGTTTTGATCCCGCATTGCTGCATCAATGAATATTCAATTTATTATAAAAATTATAATAATAATTCAACACACAGTGATAGACAACTATTTGGGTTTCCATCTGTAGAAGCGATTTTTATTTTATTAGGCCAAATCAGCCCAACAGCTTATAGAACTCTTAAGTTCTAATTGTTGTTCAAAATATTTTTTTATTTGCTATTTATATTCATATTTAATTAATTTAGAATTCGTCGCCCAGACACATTATGTCTAAAATACTTTCAAACGTCAATTTATATAACCATCGCGTTTTATTATAATGATATCAGAATGATTTTGTCGCGGGCTGTTAGCGCCGCTTAGTCCATTACCTCCGCTTCGTTGAGATTTTGTTCGTGGCACGCGAATATCGCGCCTCTCGCTGCTTCGACTGCGCGGCGCTTCGTTGAAAAACTTCTTCCGCGATATTGCTCTTGTGGGTCGCTCGCGGAGTCCGTCATACCGCGCCTGGAAATAATAATTGAAAAAATTATTAACTGATAAATAATTTTCTTATAATTATATTCGTAGTTTAAAATAGTATTTGCTTAATGATTTTATTTAGCGATATGTTTATATATAAAAATGACTAGGCATTATTAACAATGTACATGAGAAGGAAAATTTTTTGTTTAGATATTAGGAGATACGCCCAGCAAAGAATTTACTATGAATACTCATGATAGTTAGGCATAGAATTAAGAAAAAAAATCTATTTTTTAAAAACAAATATTAGATTAAAACAAATTGATTGTAAAACTGGTGGGGTGCATGGTTTAGTGCCTTAAGGCAAATTGCTGGAACTTTCCGTACCGTAATTAAAAATCTTGGTATGAAACCCAAAAAAATTCACACAAAATGTTTACACATCATTAAAATCTCTATAAAATATTTGATAATTTGATGTACATGTGTCCAATAAACATTTTTGCCCGCAAAATGACATTTTTTTAACTTATTTTTATTGAGAATCCATAACCGCTGGTCCTGTCTTCCCAAAAATTTAATCAATTCTTCATCTTGTCAATACAAGTGAAATGTTTTTTGAATCATTAAAACCGGACGCTCCGTCTTCTTAAAAACTAAGTTACGGTTTTTGACACTTTTTGACGTATCTTCAGAACGGTTAGACCTGCCTTCGCCAAAAACTAATCAGCAAGTCTCCTTATCAATACAAATCGAATGTTTTTTGAAAAATTTAAATCGGTTGATCGGTGTTCCCTATATCGTCGACGAAAATTTGTATACGCACACACACACACATAATTTTTTTCTAAGGTATGTCAAAATATTCAGAAACCTTTGAAACGTAAATTTATATCAAAATTTTCGTGTGTCGTGTTTCAATGTAAATTGCTGGTAATTTTTCATAATAAAATATTCGATGAATATTAAATGATTTCAAACATATAATACTGATAGAAGTATTATGAAGATAGAAATATATATTAGAAGATAGAAACATATAATTCTAATACTTATAGATAGGATAGAAAAGCTTATAAATTGAACGATGATATTTATAAATTTTTATATGAAAAGTGAATAAACAAAATATAATCATGCGGAGTTAGAATGAAGGACCTTATCTCATATTTCTAAAAATTATATAAATTGTATTGCAAAGTTTAAGTTATTTATCTCAAGCTTTGGAATTTTAGCTAAAATATATATTTAAGCTAAAAAAATGTTGTTGAGATTGTTCAATTCTTATTTATAAGATATAAATGTAATATGTTTGTTATAATTCTAGGAGGTAAATTATTTTTGATAAGTGATAATGAAAGAATGTAGAGATTACACATTTTTTTTAAATTATCGATAGATTGCTCGCCATTCAAGTCAAGAATTTATTAATCTATATTTATGGAGAATAATCATGGTGAGAAATATTTCTTCTAATAAAATATCGTTTTTATATATGAAATTGTTGTTATGGATAATATATCAGTTTCTTATAAATATAAAGGAAAGAAAAAATCTATATGCTATATATAAATGATAATAGGTG